ATCTAATTATTTATCAATTACAGAAACATTACATCATTAATTATTTAATTAACCAAAAAAATTACATTTTTATTAATAACAAATTAATTCTTAAACAAAACTATTAAATATAAACTAGGCAAACGTGCCATTGCACGTTGCTTGCACCTAGTATATGTATATATATATATATAACAAAGTTGTAGCATTCCACATGCATTAATTAATTATCTAGCATAATATTTGCAATACTTGATTAAATAATCTGACCTCCTAATATTGTGTTAGTGCCGTGCACATATAGCCCTATTTTTATTTTGCTAAACATAAGATTTTAGTAAATTTTAATGAAACTTGATAAAATGTGTGGTTGAAAAATTGATAAAAATTATGGATTCCATAAAATGTATTGTTAAAATTATTTATTTATTTTGAGTTAAATTTTTATCAATATTTTTACTAAACCAAACAAGGACTTAAGTGTCAAATTCACGTAATAATATTTGTATTCAGATTTTTCATCTTTCTTGGTTTTAGAATGAACAAAATTTAGGAAAAATTGCAGCAACTGTCCCAATTTTTTCAATTTTCGTTGACTTTACCTTAACTTTCAATTTGTGCCAATGAACGTCCCTAACTTCTTAGAAATATACAGTTGATGTCCAAACGGATGAAAACCGTTCGTTTGACCGTTAGTTGACCAAAAAAATTGATTTTTACCAAATTTGATAAGGGCAAAATGTTAACTTAGTTAATTCTATATTATAAAAAACCAAACAAAATCAGAAAAAAAATAAAAAACCAAAAATACCATATCTTCTACCTTACCCCACCCTTCATCCCTCCCAATCAAAACAACTTCTTCTTCTTCTTCTTCTTCGACGAGCCCTACTAGAAATCGTCACTACTGCCACCTTCAACCCACATTGCCATCGCAACTCCCTTCACCACCACCCACTACAAGTTTCGGCACCCTCCACTGCCACCTTCATGTCCACTCCACATTTGTCATTGTAGATTTGAAAATAGGGAGATGCTATATGTACTACAACTTCTACAAAATGGATGCGGCCATGTAGTCATCCATTTTGTAGAAGTTGTAGTACATATAGCATTCTCCTTGAAAATAAACCAAGAAAACAACCCCATACTCGAAAATCAAATCAAGAAAATTCACCCACCGTCAAACGACCACCACCATCGCCACCTACACGATGTCGTACCTAAATCGATACCACCACCATCTTAAACCGCCAACGGCCTCTGTAACGAAAACCCATAGCTAGAGCGAAATGGTTGTCAAATCCTCTGCAATTTCGAAACCCCAAAATCAACACCAAAGATCTAAGAATCATATCTTCACCAATTGCCACCATCACTAGCGATTGTCAAACTCCACACAACCACAGTTGAAAAATGAAAATCAAAACTATTACAAAGTTTCAACAGATTTATGAAGCTGTTGAATCTTATACGATTCACTCCTTAAATAGCCATTTCTTGTCATAAAATAATCATAAACCACAATTAAAGAGAGGACAAACATAAGGGGCTATAATGGAGAGTTCACCCCGCCATGGCTCCTTTACTGGGTTCTGGGTTTTCATGATAGTGGGGGTGGTGTGGGGTAAGGAAAGCCGGTAGATTTCTTTTTTCTTTTACCTTTTTTAATTATTTTATGTAAAATTTGTGGAGTTACCATTTTGCCCTTATCAAATTTGGTCAAAATTAATTTATTAGAACTTGAAAGAAATAATAAATTAAATTAGTTAATTCTCGACCCAATTTCCCCTTAGGAATTGAAAATGACAGGCTTAAAGTTAATAACTACTTTAAGCATCCTATTTAATTCATTACTCAATTTGTTCAAAAACACTTTTTAATTGCTTTTTTATTTGTTAATCTTATTTTCTATTAAACCTTGCAATCAATGTTTACTTATTCAAATAGGAGTTATGAATACTCAGATTAATCATTAAATATATAGCTCTCGTGAGAGTAATAATATGAATTCTTCGAATTTACTATATTACTAGATGCAAGCAACGTGCAATGCACGTTTGCTTAATTTATATTTATTATTTTTGTTTAATAATTAATTT